TAGTCCGGGGGAGGGGTACTTGTAGTCCGGGGGGTACCTGTAGTCCGGGGCCCCAAAACTATTGAGGGACACAGGCTACTACTACAACTACTACTACTACTACTACTACTACTACTACTACTACTACTACTACTACTACTACTACTACTACTACTACTACGGCTACGACTACTACGACTACTACGACTACTACGGCTACTACGACTACTACGACTACTACTACTACTACTACTACTACTACTACTACTACTACTACTACTACTACTTCTACTTCTACTACTTTTTCTACTACTACTACTACTAATACTACTACTGCTGCTGATGCTACTACTACTACTACTACTTTACTACTACTAATAGTACTACTACTATACTACTAATATACTACTACTTACTGCCACTGTACTACTCTACTAATATGCATGGACTACTACTACCATCTATACTACTACTACTACTGCCTACTACGACTTTAACTACTAATACTACTACGACTGATGCTTATATCTACTACTACTATACCACACTACTAATACTACCGCCTACTACTATTTCACTACTCCTAACAAACTAATACTACTGCTACGACTACGACTATACTACTACTACTACTACTTTACTACTACTACTACTTATTACTACTACTACATACTACTACTACTACTACTACTTACTACTATACTACTAACGACTACGACTAACTACGACGACTACTACTACTACGGACTACTACTACTACGACTACTATTACTACTACTACTACTATTACTGACCACTTGATACTGATATCTGATACGATAACTGATAATGATACTGATACTGATACTGATACTACTACTACTACTACTACTACTACTACTACTACTACTACTACTACTACTACTACTACTACTACTACTACTACTACTACGGCTACGACTACTACGACTACTACGGCTACTACGACTACTACGACTACTACGACTACGACTACTACTACTACTACTACTACTACTACTACTACTACTACTACTACTACTACTACTACTACTACTACTACTACTACTACGACTACTACCACTATTTCTAAATTGCCGAATGCGTCTACGCATAAATCTCGGACGGAATTTGATTATGATCGGCGTTCCGCAATGCTGCGGTCAGTCTCCGTGCGGGGCGGGGGCGATACCCTGGGGTGGACCACCCCCCAAGGCGGCTGACGAACATCAGCTTTTCATTTGGAATTGCCATAGGAATCATATACGACGGAAGCGGCCAGGAGAAACAAAAAGGTGGGGGAAAGAGGGGGCGGTTAGGCGGAACGAAAAATGGAAGAACAGAGGGCCCAAGGAGCATCCACATGTGCATACGCGTCAGTCCGACCTCAATCTTCTCAGCGCTAGCAGCCTGCTCACGATCCAGTCTTGATCTATTTGCTCGTCTAACCCCACTCCAACCATTATCAGTGCTTCTCTTCTGCGTCCAATCTTGCTCAGTCTGTTCACGTCCTATGTTTGAATGTCATTGGGATCGCGCGGTGTTGAAGATATCATTCGACGAAAATGTCGTTCAATAAAGGTACGGTGCTACGGGTCGACCCGCGGGGGCGTCTTGCATAACTTCCTGGGATCATCCTCCGCAGAAGTTTTTTTTGTTGCTAATTACCTCCACCACCTCCTGTGATCAGATCAAAGCGTATCCCTCTCTATGTCGTGTCCCTCTGCGTATACATAACCGTATGCATATATATATATACACATGTATATACATATATATATATACACCTATAGCCCTGACTGGCCTCCAGCCTGTCACTTTGATATCATGGTTTGTTTCTCTCTCTCTCTCTGTCTCTCTCTCTCTCGCCTGCTCTCTCTCTTTCTCTCTTTCTCTCTCTGTGTCTCTCTCTCTCGCTCTCTCTTTCTCCCTCTCTATCAGAATGTCCCTCCACCACAATGATGATCGTGATGGTGATGAGATCCCACGATCTACCTATCCGTCGACCGACCTATCGGTGAATCTCACTGTCGACCTCACGATCGACCTCAAAAGCAAAATGAGAAAACCCGCCGCAGGCGCCGAACAACGATTTGTTGTCGGACAACCACAGGACAACCATCGGCACAACCACCAGACACCCACCAGGAAAAACACAAGACAACCAGGAGACAACCACCATCACAGACAACCACGGGATAACCACGAGACAACCAAAACGAGCGGCTTCCGAAAGGCAAGGGTGCCGAACGTTCGAGCCTCGCAGCCTTCCGCGATCGCACCCAAGCATCGACAAAAATGAATTGATGGATTCAGTTGGGTGGATTGGATTGGATTTTATAAGATGGATTGGATAATATAAGATGCGTTGGATTGGAAGAGAAGGATTGGAGCAGATAAGGTGGATTGGATTGGCCCGCCGCAGGCGCAGAAACAAATGAACTGATGGATTGGGTTTGGTTGATTGGATTGGGTGGGAGATGCGAAGATTGGACCACACGGGTTGGATAATGTTGTATGGATT